TTATTGTTGTTGTTATTAATATTGTTGCTTTTAGTTGCTCATCTTGTTTAGATATAAAATAACGAGAAGCTACTTGATACAAATATTTCGGACGAAATCCATCTCCAATCATCGGTGTATTTCTCGTTATTAGCGGGCCAGCTGTGGCTAGCCAGCTATAGATCTGTCGTGTTGCAGTTTCCAGTCTCTCTCGAACCACAGGAAGCCATGTCTATTAGTTTGCAGTCTCTCTCGAACTGAAAGCTTTTCTCAAGAATCCAAGATGGCGGACACTTTGCCGATAATGTATGAGTCAATTCCAAAGGTATTTGACTCTGATTTAGGAGCAGACGGGCGGGCATTTAACGAGTAGGCGACCATCTTGGAAATTATCGATTCATATGCGAAACTGCTATTTCGTGACACAATACGAACTTTTAAGCTTAAGTTAAAAATAAAAATATCTCGGGAACCTGAGCATTTTAATAATAATAATAATACGTATTATTTATATAGCGCCGATATCCGTTACAGTTCAAAGGCGCTTCACATGATCACGGATCGCTATTAGCAGCCACGAGCCTTACAATCATTTTTGGGAACTTTCTCTATCTTTTGTACTTTCACGATGAGAAATCACGATATAAAAAGCAACAAAAACACTTGAAAACTAGCGTAAAAAACTGACTTATGGGGCGGGCATTTGACCACGCATTTGCTTTTACTAGTGTTGGCATTTGACTGTCAATGGGCACCTTTGGAATTGACTCATACATAACAGAGAAAAAAGTACTCAAAAACTGCAGTCATCAAGTGCTTTTAAGCACTTAAAAAAAAGAAATAACAAAAGCTTTCTCGTTGAAGATAGGATTTGGATAGGATTTGTATTTGTGAAGTTTCAAGCTTGCTAGTTACCATTTTGAGACGATTTTACATCGAAAATAGTCTCACCTTCGTCATCCGTCCAGCTCGATGAAATTCAGTTCAGTTTCAACATGAAATCAGCTCAAATACTGCCGGGCTTTTTTTCCGCATTTAGCCGGCAGAAGGTATTTTTCTGTTTAATTGACAATGTTTTTATTGTTCAAATTCAAATAAATTGCTTTAAAATGGAGTAAATCATAGTTTTTTTATTAGTAGAAATGACRAAGTACAAGTTTTAAAAATATTGAACTTTGTTTTGCTTCAATTTTTTTATTTATTTTGCACGAAAGAAAGCCTTATATGTTATAAACTAATGTTTTTTGCTAGCTTTAATAGTAAGACAAGTGTAATAATTKTTTTTCAAGAAGAAAATAAAAAGAATTAGTATGCATTTGTTAGGAACCGTGGATTCAATATAACTTCTGTGTTCTTTGGTTCTTTTATTGTGATCTCAGTTCCAACTTCTTTCACAAATCTGTTCGGCTTATATGTGCTACAATCACACAGTGTTTAGGTTTTACCTGGGGTATTAAAATTTACCCCACACCAATTTGCAGCCAATCCTTTCCTTTTCTTGGGATTAGAACTTTCTGGGAATGGTTGKTTTTGTCTGATTTTGTGGCATCCCGTGAGGGATGTGCCCCTGGMTGATGGTACCACATATAGCTCTCCAATATAAATTATATCTACAAATACTTTCTTAAAGCATCTATTTTACCATTATTCGTGATTCATACCATTTGCCAGGCTGGGCATGGTTGGACGCGTGAACTACGGCGACTCCCGATCCTGGCCGATCTTCGTTCCAGGCGCGACCACCCATACCTAGCCTTGGCCTTCCCTAATCCACTTGTAACGTTTACTTTGCTATTACCAAAAGTCCTACAAAATGTCAGAATGGCGTCTCGTAACACATTGATGATATTTTGCTTACATGTTGTTTTATCAGTGACTTTTTTTGTCTAGACTTGTCAGTTTTGGCTTCAATTTTTTTCATGTATATTATTGATAAGTAAGAAGATGGTTTCTTGTTCAATTTGATTCCACATTGAACTCGAATCTATCTTATTACCTATACAAACAACAACGATACCATATTGGATTTTCTCTATAAGACGAAGAATCAGACCTCCACAATCAGCTCTACGCTTACAGCGTATTGTTTACAATGGCGATACTTTATTTCTTTAGTTGTGGTAATTTATTGGTTTTGTGAATGATATTTGACAGACAGTGAATGTTAGAGATTAGTCGCTAAAAAAAGAAAAGAATATTGCGGTGCACAATTAGAAACGAAGCCGTAATTTACTTTCATATATAGTTATGTCATAGTCACAATATTTATTGGAGATACGAATTTTATCTTATTGAATTGAAAATCTTTTGCTCTTGGTGTATTCGCGCAACCATGTAATATCCAGTCTCTCAATTTTCCAAAAAGCTAGCCCGCATCACGCTTGACAAGCGTCTAGTGTTATATAAAATCTTAGCCCAATCAACCAATATCATCTTGCTTACTATTAAAGATAATATTTCGGGCATTTTTTGATTGACGAGGTTTCGACCCATCTGGTCATCCTCAGGACTAACGAAAAAACGTTACATTCTTAAATATGAAAGAATAACAATGCGCGCGCAAGCAATTAAAAATAGACAAAATGTGCGCAATGTGGAATACGTACTGTTGTTGTTGTTGTTGTTGTTGTTGTTGTTGTTGTTGTTGTTGTTATTGTTGATGATGATGATGATCATTTCTTGGCACTTCAAATACTTGATGCTAGGAAAGCCTATACTGGATTTGAGGTAATTGTGATCATAATTACATCTGATTGCGCAGTAAGCTATTGTACAGGTTAGTGGTTTTACTATTGTTATTATTTTTTTAAACAGTGAATAGAATAGATTTTGCATAACGCATTTTTATATGATAATGACAAAAATACCATCCTAATAAGCAGAGACGCGAGAAGTGTGTTTTGCAGACTACATATGTGTTACGTTGACAAAGCCAGTTTCAGTCTTTTGAAGAGCTATTTATTACTAGGAAGAAAAGGATTGAAATATCTGCTCAGTTCATGTAAATTTTAGTAATTATAACTGCTTCATTGTAAAATAAGGGTTAAAACTCACTGAAATACCACATGCCATACTCATTGAGCAGACATTYCAATTTCGAAGCTTTGAAGCTTTTGCTAGTGTATATATCATCTCCCAATTCTCATTTGCATGTTATGCGAAATCGCTCTGTAACAGGATGAGAAAAACAAGGGATTTCGAAGCCGGAAAACAAAATGCATAAAGATTCGATTACAGCTGATCTATGACATCGGGAATTCCCCTTGGCCATTTTATGGCAAAACAGGATTCAACTTGCATCGTGAGGATTACGCTAGCATGATTTTTAGAATACTCGATATAACTAAATCCAGCTTCAAGTTTGTCACTAATGATGATAAGTATGCCAGGTTTCAAAGAGATGGAGCATAAATTGACAAGGATAAAAATTTTCAAATCTATGTATTTTTGCAAMGAAATGTTTTTAGCCGACATTCCAGGARYACAATAAACATAATTAAAAAATTATATCTTCGTCATTTTAAGAGCCATATTCTTGTGCATTCTGTAATCTGATTAATAGTGTATTTAAAAAGGTTATCAAGTAAACAGCCGAGCAGCCGAGGCTTAATTACCARAAAAATGAACCCGCTTGAATGGTTCAAGTTTGATTGACCGCAACGGTTATAAAATCCAYGGYTTAAGGGAAATCCCCGATCGTTGTTGCGTTTCGTGGAAGTTTATAAGCTGTTGGACGATCAATGCAAAATATCAAAACTGCTGAGAATATGAACTRCTTCACCTGGAAAATGCAAAACTACACTCGTCAACAACGCTTCATGCAGATTACCCCCAAAGACATGCGTTAAGCATAACAAACTGAGCGCTGGTGACACAAACTCGTTGATTATAAAAAAATATATTAGATGCTTTAGAAACTGTGATATCTTTAAAAAAAGTGTCGGTTAACTCATGTATTAACGTCAATCTTGGTAAATATAGACATTCTGCGATACTTTCCTTCCAAATTTGCATTGTTGTTTTATTTTCAGAGTCGGTAGGGGCAAGTTATCGCTCGTGGCAACAATAATGACAGAGTACCTACGAGAATATATTATTTAAGAGACGCTTTTCAGTTTGGATAATTACGCCCATAGTTAAAAACAACTTTGAATAACGTAAATTAGTGTTAAGTTAGAGTACAAACATTAAATGTGTGCAATGATACTTTCCACTATTTATTACAAAATAGTGTTAATTAAACAATAGAAAACAATAGAATTAGCATAATTTAGCAGTATTTCGTGGTATTTATGTTGCACAGTTTTAGTGTTTGTACTCTAAGACAGCCTAAATTATATAAATGAAATATTTACTGATTTTAAAAATACTCCGCGTCTCAGCACGTCTCTATTACACTAAGTAAACAMGGAAGAAGTTTTTAATCGTTAAACACAGCTAATTAGCACATGGACGAAGTAAAGGTTTGAAGAATTTAGCTGCTACCATGGCAACAATAAGCAATAGTCGCGTAAATCAAATTTTTCTAAATTGAAAAAAAAATAGGTAAAGTAGCACTTTTAGAATGCACACTTAGATCAAGCGAGAAACACTTTATTGAAATATTGCTAAAATACATTGTTATGTTTTATTTGGCAGTGTTTATTCAAGTGCTATTTCTGTTATGCAAATGCAAACAGTGTTGGTCAAAACAYGAAAAAACATTTATTTTTTCCTTCAGGTTCGATACCTGTCCAAAGAGTCGTAAAAAACTGTCAAACGTTCATCAAAAGTAATTAAAAGACAGAGGCGTCCAATTCTAACCCTATGAATACAAACAAGCAAACAAGAGCTGACGTCTAAAATCTGTTGTGTCTTGTCAATTGACAATCAATGAGGATTTGCCTAATTTCGTAATTTTCTGCTTTTTGCCTGTGGACTGCTTGCCTTGTTTCGCATTCCCCAGWGTTGGCTCATTTCGGTTCGAGTCCGAGACGCATGTGTAGTTCCTGAATTACCGAATAAATAGTGATTTTTACCATTTTTACACATTAAATAGTATTAGCGGTTCGCGGTGCTTGGGTAATTTATGTAAAACCTGTAAAATTATCTTGAACTTATTCAGTTCCCTTTGAAAAATAAAAATTCTTCTCTCTAAATTGAAATAATGTATAATAAAACAATCATTGAATACTGTTTTTGTGATATTTGAATACTGATTTACCCTTTCTGTCGAGGTTGATTACCCTCGACCTTGATTGGATATCATCAAAGCCTGATCCAATATTTGTTTTTATCATGATTGTCAAAAGTTGATATCTCTTGTCTGGTGTGTGTTTTGTGAAACATCAGTTCAACTCATGTTATTAAAGTTTATGAATAAATGAATCAATGCTTGCTATTAAATATACGAGGCACAATGACTGTTTAAGTGTGGTACAACCAAAGAGACGCGGTGAAAGGAAGCGTTTTTCATTTACCTAACAAATTAACTTATAAAATTACTTATATCTTGGCAAATGAAATTCCTTTCGGCGAAAACATTTTCAGAGATTCAGAGTTTTACTAGCTCTTTTCATGTGGAATTGAATTTTGTTTGTAAGACTAATTTTATAGTGGAAAATTTCTTTTTTTTAATGACGTACGTGAAGAAAACAAAGAATTGTGCTTCTTCCGGCCTCACACGCAGGTAGATGATTTCTACAATTTAATGTACCTACGATGACCAGATTTTTTTTTCATCATTAAAATGATGATTAGTAAATACAAATGAGGATATCATTCCACATGAGCGGCAAAATATATATACAACTAGTCCTGCTGTCATTTGGAATCCTGWTAAATCCGCAGGAGATTTCTCAATTCAATTATGATTTCTGTTCAGATCGAGTATACTGAGCATTTACGACTTTCAAAAACAAATACTCTTTCGATGAATTGTTCATTTTATCGGGCTGATTTAATTAATATTGATTACGTTATCTCATATAGAAGACTGGTGTTTGCTCTCGGGTCTGAAACTATATATGCTTTAGTCACAGTTAACTAAGTAGCAAGTAYCAACAATAAAAGTGCAAATTCAAYAATTGAAAAGTGTKAAGAAATTAGCTATAAGTATRCGCATATTTTTATTAGACTCCARAAGGTTTAGTTTTAGGACTTCGAACACCAGAAATAAATTTAAAAAAATGATGTATACAGGAATAAATAGAATGTGTCATTCTTTGACTTTTAGTACATTCTATTTCTATAAATCCCRGTCATCAAGCTAGACTCTATATACATTTTGGGGCTAATCAAACAATCACATACGATGGCAGCTAAGACCATGATCTTGAAAGTCAATATTAGTGGTGAAACGAAGAATTCATAACGATTTGGGCACTCATCATCAAAAAAATATCTTGGAAACAATTTTCACAAAGGTGCACACAGAGCATGACAGAATCCCTGAGGAATCTATTAAAGAAAACCACGCCGTGTTAAATGTAAAGATTCAGAATTTAAAACAAAAAAAAATCAATAAATAAAATATATATTTTTTAAGGAAACCTTCGATAAATAAAACTAAAAAAATGATACAGTAAATARGAAAATAAGTCGTTGAAAATATGTTTTACCTAAGTTGAATGACATTATACATAAAAATCGTTTTTCGTGTTTAATTCTGCTATTTTCATGTAAATTTATTATTGTGCYCCAAGATCACAAAAGCAGCCGAGTGACAGTTAATGACGCAAATAGTGCAATGTCCTATCATAAAAGGCGGCTGCTAAGCACAAATTTGTTCCAAAACGTGTTTGACTGGAACATGACCATGATGACGTTCCAAGCGTTTCTTCTGTGTTCGATTCTAGTAGGACAAGCTTATTCTATGACTTGTATTCCTGGATCGTACCTACCACCGTACAGTAACATATGCTACAATTGCCCAAAAGGAATGTATCAAGATAAAGCAGGACAAACATCGTGTAAATGGTGCAATGGTGGGGAATACAACATTCAACAAGGACGAACAAAATGCGATGTCTGTCCTATTGGTCATAGCTGCTATTACAAAAATACGGCACCGGTGAAATGTCCCAAAGGAGAATATCAAAACCAAAAAGGACAAACATCTTGTAAATCGTGCAATGGCGGCGAATACAACATTCACGAAGGACGATCAAAATGCAATGTCTGCCCTATTGGTCATAGCTGCTATTACAAAAATACGGCACCAGTGAAATGTCCCAGAGGACAGTATCAAGACCAAACAGGACAACGATCATGTAAAGGGTGCAAAAGGGGCAAATATAACATCCAAACGGCAGCAACCTCATGTAAGCGTTGTCCTGCTGGAAGCAAATGTCCTTTTGTAGACTCAAATCCTTTCCCTTGCYYTRAGGGGTTCTACTCTCCCCCAGAATCCACCAAATGCTTTTTCTGCGCATCTGGTTACTTTTGTCCAAGACCATCAATGCCACCTGTTCCAAGAAGCAATGATACTTTCCTTAGAAGCAAGATCCACAATGTCGCCAATTACGCATCCCAGGCGTATCATCTCCAAGGGAAAGGTCCCCAAGGTTTTGCTCGATATGAAGCTGCAAACAAGACGATCATTGTATCGTTTCGCGGGTCGACAGTCAGTTATCAAGATTGGAAAAACAATTTAGACACTCAAAAAGCAAATTATACAAGTTGCCAGGGCTGCTTAGTTCATACTGGATTTCTGAATTATTACCACAAGTTACAAATATCGATGCTGCTAAGAGTCGGCGMTTTATCTCATACACATCCCAAATCAAAAGTGATCGTCACAGGCCACTCGCTTGGTGGAGCACTGGCAACCTTTGCCGCCGTCGATTTGGCGAAACGCGGATATAATACCGAGTTGATCACCTATGGATCACCAAGAGTTGGAAACAAAAAGTTTTCTGAATATGCTGACAAAACTCTCAAATCATTAAATCTGAGAGTGACATACAAGGAMGATATTGTTACTGTACTCCCTCCACAATCAAAGGGGTATTGGCACGTTGGACAGGAAATCCATTACACTGATCAAAACTCTGCGTTCGAATTACCACCAAAGACCGATGTTGGGTATTACAGAAATAGCGCTGGTGATCACAAAATGGTTAATTATGAAAAATTAAACTAGATGCCGTAGAAACTGTTATATTCGTAAAATGCATGAAGCAGCCATGTAGACTCGTATCATCATAACAAGGTTAATGTAAACATTCTGGGATACTTGGATCAATTAATAATTGCATTATAGAGTACAAACATTAAATGTGTGCAACACTTTCCACYATACACAAAATAGTGTTAACTAAACAATAGAAAACAATAGAATTAGCATAATTTAGCAGTATTTAGTGGTATTTAATATGTTGCACAGTTTTAGTGTTTGTACTCTGTCACAGGATAAAAAAACCTGTTGTGGTTGGAAAGGCTTGGCACATTTAGTTATTTTAAAAAGCTAACGGATGGTACGTTTATTTCTGGGGGAAGGAGAGTTTTCAGAGTACTTTTTTTCAAAAAAGATGTTACCCTCGATCCCCATGGTAATTCTAAAAGTAAACTTTTGACCATCTTCTCAAAAGTACCAAAAATACTGATGACCCTCCCCTCATCGCACACCAACTGACAAGTCTCAGGCTATCAAWAAGCATTGCATTATCCACGCCAATGGCGTTGATCATTTGCTGTGGCATTATGTGGCAAGACACGTTACTTAACAAGCTTATCGGCCGATTTACGAAGAGTACACATGTTGTAGATCTGAAACCCTTATTGGTGAGTTTAGTGTAATTACTGTTTTGTTGTCTCATTGGGCTTTCTGATTCACCGTGGCACTGATGTTCGTTTCTTCTCGACGTTTCGACGCCATCAAAAAGATTCAATCAAGATCCTGAAGAAGACGACCAAAATGGCGTCGTAACGTCGAGAAGAAACGCACATCAGTGAGTCAGAAAGCCCAAAGACACAACAAAACAGTACACATGTGGTTTATATATTGTGCAGTTTTACTCCTATATCCTCATTTTAATTTGAAGATAATACAAAATGCCAAAAATATCATTTTTAAATGCTTTTTTGATCAAAATTTACAGTTTTTTTATTCCAATTAACGAGAAAGACATTCGAAAGCATTTAACCATGGCATTGTTCATTTGTAATATTTTCTATTATGAGTTTTTCTTTTTTTTTTCGTTTTTTTTACGACCCGATCAAGAGGAGTCGATGTCCAGCTTCTTCGTCTTATTGTTAATGGTAACCCGGGTTCTAAAAGTTCGATTTTGTACTAGTTGCTTTTCTTTATTTATTCATTTTTTCTTTCGATTCCGTAGGGACAAGTGATCGCTCGTAACAACAATAACAAGAGCAAAGAGAATGYTGTCRAAAACCCTACAAAAACTTATTGTTTTGTTGTAGATCTGAAACCCTTATTAGTGAGTTTTGTGTTATTATTGTTTTGTTCTCTATTCGAGCTATCTGACTCATTGATGTTGGTATTTTTTCGACGTTTCGACGCCATTTTGGTCGTCTTMCTCAGGGTTTTATTGCATAGATKGAATCTTTGTATAATGAGTGGCTTCCAAAAATCGATGTTTTATTTGTCAATTYCCCTTTTTACTTTGGAGATTTACTTGCATATTCAAAAACAACTTTGAATGGAATCATTGTGGAAGAATAGCGTAAATTTAGATAGTATTCTCGACTGGAAAAAAATATTTCTATACCGCTTTGAATAATTTGAATATCAGATAAAATAGAAGATAATGAAGCATGCAAAACTAAGACAATGGAAAATGTGTATTCTCAGAATAATGATTTTAAATGGAAAGGAATCTCGCACTCCTTCACAAATTAAATTTGAATTAATATCAAAATGCAGACGCGAGAATAAATACACTATTAATAGAGCATCGAACTAAGAACAAGCTAAGTAGTCTGATGATCGCATAATGTGGAAACGTATGTAACTAGAAAGTCCTTGTAATAATGTATGTGTTTCTATACTATATTTTAATTGATAACCCTTTCGAACTGCCTCGATCAGCTCGTCTATACTATACACTAAGTAGACACGGACGATTTTTTTTAATTGTTTATTAACACGACTAATTTTTGGCACATGGACGAGGTGAAGTTTTGGAGAATTTAGTTGCTACCATGGCGACCATGAGCATAATCGCGTAAACAGCTTTTTTGTAAATCAGAAAAATATAAATAAAGTAGCTGCACTTTTGGAATTTCAAAACGCATCGCTCATGGCAGATTTCAACCTAGAAGCACTTCATTAAACTTTTGCTAAAATAGTTCATATTATTTCAGCTGCTCATTCTGTTATGCAAATACAAACAGTCGGCCAATACATGAACAAACATAATTTTTCCTTGATTTTTATATTGTCAAAAGAGACGTAAAAATTGACAAACGTCCATCAAAAGTTTTTTTTAGAAAAAAATCTAAAAAATTGTTGGGAAATTGAGTTATCATTCAAATAGTTCAGAAAAAAATGCTCGTGTTTACACAAAAACTAGACAATAGGCCTTCCTTGCAATAACCGGTGTCTAAAGTGAACCAGCTTTCTGTTTACTCTCAACAAATAACGCTCTTATCATATATACTTTTGTATTTTCAAAAAACCAAAGATGGGTTGTGTTTCTCTCTCGATTACTCGGTAACGAAAGACTGTCCCTTTGGATTTGAAAAAAAAGATCAAGAAATATACATACTCTGCTCTGAGGCGGATGGTGTGTCGATCGAATTGCACTCAAAATTAATAGGTCCATTATATTAAATACAGTTAATCCCGTTAACGTTGTCGAGTTCTTTCTTTCTGCAAGCCAGAAGCAAATATCTAGTCATGCTAGTCGTAAAACACAAATACTTGAAATAAATTTGCTCTTATATATTCTTAATTTGAATATAGTTATCATATAGTACTTGTAGCCGATTGGATTGGATTGGTTTTGTTCTTTTTTTCTCATATTCCCGAGAATTTAAAAAATGGCGATGATAGTATAAATTTCATTTTAGAAAGGATACTGTTTATTTATAACGTCATTTTTCAGAAACTCATCGTTAGTTTTAAATGAAGAATATTTATTACAAGATAGTGAAGAACCTATTTTTTTATTTCAAAATACAAACTTACAGTTACAGTTACATTAACATTGTGAAATTTTAAAAGCTTGAGTACATTGAAGGTTTTTTTTAAATTCGGAAAGGTTAGTACAGTTYWACATATTGWACTCATCAATGTTGCTGAATTCTACGTCAACGAGCTAGGCCTGAACACCATTAGTCATCCAGCTGGGCTGAAAATATGGGTAAGTCAAATGACCTTTTCTTTGGCGGTTYCGGTTTCTCCTTGCCAGCATTGGCTCTACTCTCTTGTCCAGTATGCGCTTGAAGCGTTGYAAGATCTTTTTACCCTTTCGGGTTTTTAGCTGCGATCCGTAGTCAAAGAGACGATCCATACGGAAGGAAGCTAGCGAGGTATAGAAATACATCTGATCCTATACAACAAACACAGAAAATCCAATAGATTTAATTTGCCATTGTCTTATTTAGAGAAAAATTATTGGATGCATGAGGACGGAACGTTGCTCTGGGTGTTGACTAGATGCATTTATAGTCAGTTTGCATAATGGTGTCATAATTAAGCAGCTACGTACCACAATGTTTTTCTCACTTCTTTTGTRATTTGCGGTGGATGCCTTATATTTTTCACAAGACATCAATTAAAAAGAAACAGTCGAGATAAAGATGAGAAAACTCCTTAGATTTTTTTGATTTTTGAAGTAAAATAGCAAAAAGGAGGAGTGTTTTAGAATGAGACATGAAAAAGTGTGAAGATTCAAAAGAYGCTTTTGTTGAACAAAATTGCATCACTGCACGTTGTTTTTTGAGATTGATTTACTTGTCATTTATCAGGAGGATCTAACTGGGTCTGTTCTTCTAAATAATTGGTCTTGTATGATTTTTTTTCCTGTGAAAGGGATTTTTAGCTACATAGTTGACAATCTCACAAGAAAATGTGGCGCCCTTCCTATAAAAAAAAAACATTGTTCCTGGCAAGCTTTTGTAAGGTCAAAAAAGGCTTATGTAACGTTTTTGTGTTTTTTAGTTAGGAGAYTTTTATTTTTCTTGCAAAAATTCTTTAGAAAATATGCCTTGCCTGGAGAGTTCTTTTTTCCTGAATTTCTGGTAGCGAGTTGTGACTTACAGCTTGCTGGGACATTAGAACAKATATATTTCTCCCAGGATCCCGTCGGCTCCTCCTTATTTATCAGTATTGCTACTCTAAAATGCATTTCYACTTATAAAAGGTTCTGYATATCGCAGATTGATCTTACCACTGACGTTCGCCGGTTCTCAAATCGTTTTACTGYAAATTTGTTAGAGGGAACTCCTTTTATATCGTACAGTTTTCCAGGTGCGTTAGGTATGTACGTAGCATAGTCGCTTAACGGGTAGTTGACCGCCGTGTGTTGACCTGTCACCAACCAAAGAATTCGTGCCAAAGTGTTAACCAAACTGGCCCTGCTTCTGATACGAGCAGGGAACCCACGAATCTAAAATAAAGGAAGAAAAGTACTTTCAAYGAGAAGTCCTTTATGAATTATTTAGGCCGCTTGTCAGGATTTCCTCAAACCTCTCCATTGCCACCTTTTGAAATTTCGCGTGCAAAGTTTTGCAATTCGTAATCTCCTCTAACATTTCGGCTTGAGCGGTAAAATCTGAAAACAAAAAATTAGGTTTGGTTAAAGGGAARCCTTTACACCACACTGTTCACTAGAAGCTCTCGTGATCATAATATTTTCCTRACGCGCTCAAACATGGCACTAATACAGCACCGCATTGCATCAAAAAAAAATCCCGAAAGTGCTTCACTGTTTTAAAAAACATTTAGACTACACCATCTAAGGRATAACATCAGATAAATCTTTTATCGAGACAAGAACAGATTGACAGCTAAWACTCAGTTGAAATTGAGAAGGTCATTATAGACGAAACATGTTTTTCAACTCTGTTGTTTTGTTCGCTACGTTAACAGATAAGAAGTGAACGAAAAATTCKTATAACAGAAAATGAAACATCTAAGGAATGTTTCATAGGTTCMAAAAAAGGAATAGTGGCACTCCTCTTCTTTCGAAGCGAGGTTATTCAGAAGAAAACGAAAAGGATGCCCTCTATGAAGTCTTGAGTTTTTGAAGATTTGAAGTCTTCGCGCTAAAAATGCAAATTGAATTGAGAGTACAGGAGAATGGACATATCTGGGAGAATTTAATCGACTCAATATAATGTATCACATGCCAGGTAAGAAATGTTATGTTCAGGTGATATTTAAAAAACGAGTAGGAGTGTTTTATCGTGAGATATAAATACGAGGCCGAAGGCCGAGTGTTTATATCCACGATAAAACACGAACTACGAGTTTTTTAAATGACTTCTAAAACCCAAACCTCAGAAACAACAATATTTTAGTTTAACATGAAATAAATAAAAAAATACCAAAAATGAATAATTGATGAAGATAGCGACCATCTGAGCATGAACAGTAATTAACTTATGTTTCCCACTTTCAAGCGCCACTATGTATTAGTCTACTATGAATCTGCAATAAGTAATTTTTAACTTGAAACCTAGTAAAGTTCTATGATGAGAGTCTAAAACTGAGAACTTTTCTAGTTTTGGGCACACAACGAGTGTCTATAAATCAGTTACAACACTGATGTTTTATGCATGAGTGTTATAACTAACTGAAATGGATAGTTATAAAACTCATGTTTAATTAATCCGTGTTTGTAACTTGAGTTATAGATTCTGTCATGTGGCCCATAGTTGAATGCTCATTGGAAGAATGTCTAATGAGTAATTCATGARTTTTAGAATTAAGTTTTACTATATACCTTTTCAACGTACATTTTCTAAAGCTGGCACTTTGATTTACCTCTTTTTTATATGGTATCCTTTATTTATGTATTTTTAGGGTTTTAATTTTTTAATGCCAAAAAACTCTTTTCTTACATTTTGGAGGAAAAAATTGGTGTAGCAGTGCTATAGATACACCTATTTCAAAAAACATTGTGTTCGCTAGAACACAGTCGATTGCTATTTATAATTGTTTATAGTTATTCAAAATTCTCGGTCTTGTATCGAATATAGCTTTGAACCTCATTGACGGTTTGAAAACGTGGAATATTTCTCAAGGAAAAATGTCTCATGGCGCCAACATAGGCAAATATATTTTGGATATATTATCTACACATGGAAATCCCGAGATTCTTTGCAGGTTCAAGTYACTGTGGACTGCGTGTCCTGGCGACGACAACGGTTTTTTTTAATAGGCGTATAAGCCAATCAGATCGTGCGAATGTTCTTCAGTATATTATAATCGAATATGGTTGACAGCCATGATGCCAAATTTTTCTCAGACAAAATCCCTTTAGGCTCAACTTCTTCAACTAATTCGCGATCATATGATCGTGTGTTGTCTTGTCTATCATAATTATTTATAAATCTTCACATTCACTGACTTACGCTTTTACGTAAGCAATGGACATCCCTTTTAGCACGTTGTATATAACAAATCCGTCATCTCTGTAGGGATAATAGGGAAGACTTCTTCTTCGATAAACTCCTCTTCTCTATAAACAGCAACAAATAACAACAAATTATTCATGAACTGGATTCCGTGGTACGAAGAGTGGTTTAAGTTATCTAAACCTTAGATTTTGCCATGAATTTTAGGCTAGATATAATATATAATGGTTTATCCGATGAATAGCGCTATCCACCCTTCCTACAAGTCCTACAACCGGTCAAAGAGCACTAGATCATTTTGTATGTTTTCATTTCTTTAGAGGATGAGAATCCGCAGGAAACAGTAAACTTAACAACGATCATAACCCTTCTAACTCTTTGAAACATTCTTTTTAATAATTCAATGTGATGTGGGCTAGTTAAAAGCTTATTATACAATTCKTTTCATGATAATTTACCTTCAGGTTGTTTCGTAAGTCTAGATCACGCCAGTCAATTATTGCAGCAGCTTTCTTCGATATCTTCTTTACGCCTTCGTTGCCAAACTCATATACACGATCCAAGGCTTCGTTGTCATTCAAAAGTGTAGGAGCYCCAAGCGTGTTTGTTGTTAAAACACCTCTACAGTGAAATCGCAGTATGTCATACAAGGGATGATGTGCTGATAGCTGTCTTTCTACGCTCAAGCACACTGCCTCGATTGTGAAGTGGACCTTATTAAGATGTTCGACTATCTGACTTATGGATATGTCTGCCAGATTAGTGTTGAGCTTTGCAAGCATCCAGTTGTCACCGTCTTGTGGAGTATAAACTGGGGCATCTGCATAAAAGATTAAATTGACATATAATTAATGTAATTTCATGGTAGCAGTTCATAGGTCCATGAGGATTTTTTCAAAATTTGGAAATTATTCTTATATGAAGAAATCGATATTTTTATACAGATCACATACATTTGATTGGTACTGTAACTGACTAATTACTTGCAGAAATTACAATCCGAATATAATATCAGTAGTATAGGTAAATGATCGCTTTAGACTTTTGTCAAGTTTAACATCAATTGCTTGAAAAAAAACTATCGTATCGAACATTAAACAATATTTTTTAAATCTGCTTTGAAAGCCGCAATATATCATAATAATAATTAATAATATCATTTTGGAAAGGATTATCGACTTTAATCAATGGCAAATAATTTTAGAATGGCGTGGATCTATACAATATTATTTATACACTCTTTTACTTTTCGAAATTCTATAAAGCTTGTTGAGGCTGCTCGCTTCCCAATGGGATTTCAAAGAAAACTCCTACCTCTATCATCATCCATTTGAATAGCAATGGGAGTCAGTGCTGCTTTTCGTGATGCAAACAATGCAATGGGAGATTTAAATTTCCACATTGTTCTGTTAGGATTGTTGTCCGTTAGGTCAGGTGACGATTGAATACCTTTTCCCAATGGATGGTAAAGAACAAACAAGTAATCGTTCTTGATTGCCTGTATAAATATAAATTACAGTCACTGACAATGGATTAACAATGGATTAGGGAAGCTACAAATACGTTCTGTCCCAACGCCTTCTTGGACCTTCTTGAAATGAAGGTTTTTTTTTTTTGATGTTCTCGTTTTTGGTAGTTTTCGACCAGTCTGCTGATCATAGTTAGTAGTAACTAAGTATKAACGTATTGCATGCGCCATGTCTGTTGCAATTTAATCAAGCGACTTCAATTACCTATTGGAGAAGTATAAWGCTCCATTTTTAGTTCTTTGGCTTCGATGCTCAATGAAAACCAATATTAATGCAATGCGATTTAGGAAAATTCAAAACGAACCAAAAATACTGAGCCTGATTTTCAGACGGGTCTGRGTCCGACCCTAAAGCTTCCCTCACAATGCTTTAATCATTAGCGTCAGACCCAGGACTTCTGAAAACCAGGCTACAAAATACTTGCTTAAAGCTGTCCTATTTTTAAGYTAAGTAAAACGAATTTACCTTTCTCAGCGAAGCGTTGTCTTTGACGAAACTGAGCACTTTATTCACAGCTTTGACCAAGTTAAACTTAGGGTTTAAAAGCTGCTTGAGGTTTCGGAGGTTCATTCCGATTTTCCTTGACAGCGTGATTTTCTGGATCGTCAATGGGTTTATTCCAGCCAATCGTTGTTCAGCGAAAAAATGGTCTGAGATCCACTTGTTAAAGTTTGACTGAAACGGTTCGTGTTCTGATGGGTACTTCATGTAAGCCTGAACAAAATCATATGAAACTTGTCACTTTCAATAAATTGTTGACTGATGTTTCCGGCAAGTTTGTCGTATACCTGTTAGTACAAAGAGGCTCCTAAGGGACTACGCACTATTTATCAGGAGAGGAAGGAGGGGGGATTGAGAATCCAGGAGGGACAAAATAAAGAGGGGGCAACGATTATAACTAGAACTTAGATGGAAACAGAAAACTCAACGGTGTCAGATTCTGTGCTTTTTGGCCAAATACTTATTGAGGTGAAAAATTTCTCAAGTAAAGCGTGCCACGATTTGATGAATAATGATAAATTAATAAATTCACGAGGGGGGAGGGGGGGGGTTAATGTACATACCCTTATGGGGTTAGCTGGCGATGAAATGACGTTCCTGTAGAATGCCCTTATGGCGGCAAAGTCAAACATCGTCATTTCTGGTCGATTGCTGTGAAAAGTACCTGATGAATACGCCAGCGATGTTTGGGCGGCAAACCTTGCCTGTGTGATATAGAGTCTAGCGTGCCCTGCAAGGAACGGGGCGGTTGCGAGAAATTTATAATACTGGGCTGGACTCATGTTCAGTCGATTATATGGCATTTCTGTCGTGGCTTTTTTAATACCATATTTTGTACGACTGATGTTTAGGTTCTTCATTCGCTGGTTTCTGCAAGAAAAATCATCTTGGCCGGGTAGACGTACAGGGCACCAGGCCACGGCATGGCTGTAAATTATGATTATTATAATCAGTAACATCAGTAACAGGACGATGATAGCTGGAAAGTAATATGGTAGTAACTGAAGGTTAATGTGAACAGGGCTTTTCGAAATTCAAACTGGTAAATTGTCGCATAAAAAAAGAATCYATGCAGTTTGATGAAATTCAGAAACGGTTTCCGTGACAACAAGTCAGAGRCGTACTAAAATTACTATATATAGCTGCCATGTTTCGTAGGATATGAATGATTACACAGAACGAAAAGCGCTTTTAAAAAACTGTAAAAAAATGCTTCGAGCTTTTGACCAGCCACCATGGTCATCCTTTTTTTTATTTTAAAAATTTCAAACAACTGTAACTCGGTGTAATAAGTTTTCAGCCAAATAGCTTAATGCCCTCGCTACTGCGATACTTACGAGTAGACCTTGAGATCGAGTGAACTATACGAGCTAATAGTCCATGAGACCGTATCAAATCTTAGTTCTAGAGACCGAGAATCTAATTGTTTCAGTATTTCACCAAACAATAGGGCAAAAAGAATAATTTTTCCCTGTAGAAGTCGGGAGTACTTGAACTGATTCCATTGTAACTGTCTTCCAATCAGAGGGAACGGTGTCCATCAAGGTTGATGAATGCTTGAACGGATTCAAAAATTGAGTCAGAATATCGTACAAAAATGACAATTTGGCACGGTTGGATTTGAAGTCCGTTGAAATATTGCCCAATTCTGGATAGAAGGATCCTAGAGACATGACGCTGAGCGGATTTTGGAGGCAAAAGATGGATTTAAGATATTTTTTTCGGCCTTCAAAGACGATTGGTGTGGAAGTTCTGTAACCAGCCTTGTAGTCTTTTATGACTGATGGCGATATTTTAAAAAAAATAGCTCTAAATCCCTTCAAAACCATACACAACAATGTTAAATAACATCAGCAACACATGAGATTAAGGTAAAATGTATTTTATTAAAAAAAAAACAATTTTGAATCATATGCTTTGCTTGGGTTGCCTGTGGTTAACTAAAACAGAGGCAATCTCGTACCCAGAGCCCGCTTTGGGTAAGAGGGACAGTGGGCGCTGGGTACGAGATTGAAATAGAGGTTGCTCGCTTTAACGGAAAAAAGGCGTATTCACTGAATATATTGTTACTAGGTTTTTATGGTGCAGAAAACAAATATTTTTTTTTTCACACTACATACCAATCGATGGCCAATGCTATCAAACAGAACATACGTATGGACGTCATTGTTGAAACACCTGAAAAAAGCAATTGGTATAGAAATTATTAATATCTCGATAAATATATTCAATCCTCCAATACACTGGAGTCCGATTACATTCTTCCGCCCTTTGCTATCAATAGTTTTAGTTTAGGCTCTATAAACTACTTATTATTCTTTCACAGTCGGGTAGTGAATCACTCAACTGTATATGTTATAATTATTTGCTAAATGCAAATTATAAAAAGGCTTTAAGGTTTTTAAAAGACCTCCGAAAAAAGGAGTGCCATCAAGCTATAACAATGGCGATGAGCTAAAATGAATATGGACAACGTGATCACAGTTCTTTTTTATTAAAATTGCAAAGTTTTATTCAATGTTGGGCGTCTAGAACCGGCTACCCAATCTAATTTATGAGAAACTTCACTCTGAAAATTCAACATTTCTATCATGAATACACTCTCCTCGTGTGTTATTCACTTTTGTGAAGTCGTAAAAAACATAGTATAGAATCATAACGGTTGAACATGCATCAGTTATTGGTTCATTATATACATACACCTAGACGGCAATGTGGAAGGGAGACTTCAAGACCGAAAGGAACAATGGTTACGCTGTTAGACATTCTAAATTTAACCTCTTTGGCTCACTTTTCGTGAAAATTTATACTAAATGGAGCCAATTTTTTTCCGCAGACTATCTTACAAAATGAATCAGATATTATGTCCCGTTAATTAGCAAATTGCATGGCTAGCTTCGGTTAACGCAATCTTCCTTCTATAATTGCAATTCGCCATTTATCCTACATCCTTTTTGATTTAAGTATGTATTGGTGTTTAGGTATGTCAAATTATTGTTCACGGGCTTATGTTACTGGCTTAACTCTATACACCTGTGAAACCGCGCAAAAAGCATGACGAAATAGTTAACTATAAGTAGTGCTTGATTTTAGAGTAAGTCAAAAAAGCGCGAAATAAAGGTCATTCCACTAATACAAATTGCTTCGTTTGTGTCTATTTGAATTTCACACCCTAACAGTAAAATTTTGTTTCGCAGGTGTAATGACCTCACTCTACTGAATTCTGCTAATTCAACTTGTTTCCATTGTATACTAACTTCGCCATTTATCGTTTATTTAGTGATATTTGTTTAGCAATTTTTCATTTGTTTGCACTCTACGAGTCAAAAGCAAAACAGTGGAATAAGTAGGATAACAGTGGCAAAACTCATTGCATAGGTTGTTTAAGTGTACATGACGCCTTTTAGAAAATCACTTTTCAAGACGGAGGACGCATTAAGTACTCCCTCAAATACTGATGCATTTATTCTCCAAGAGCACTTTGGACACATTTTCCCCTCCTCCTTTATGTAATATAGCTCAAATTATTCGTAACTTTTTTATACCTTTAAAGCTACTGATCGATTAATTGACTTACCTAGAGAAACACAATACGCAGTTACCTGTGAGCTCTTAGGAATGTTCAGTTCTGACGAATATAGAATATTTATATAACGACGGCTTATGGGAGCGTGAAATAGGAGCATTGTAGTTTTTTTTAAAGAGCTTCTCGTGCATGAAATGTATTTGCGGTTTAATGAGGACATGTTTGCACGAAAAGTGTAATTTATAATAAACAGCTATTTTTGAATTATTATTTTATTTATCCAAGAACATTTAATTAACTTTTGTATGACTGTACGAACATTTTTGTGCACGTATTTAACCGTTTGCAGAGTTACAATTGATTTAGTGGTAAATTCACTTCACATTTGAGCACTATTTTGTTCTAAGCTTTTAGTGCTTTCGGGTACATTGTCAATTATCGAACAGTTGCAGTTGGCATGAATGTTATAGAATGTCTAGCTTTACACATCTTTTTAAAACTAAATTTAAATCAAAAGGTCAGTGAAGTAAAGCGAAATAAACAGTCCTTAAATTTAAATAACCACTGTGAATGGTTGGCTGAATGCGTTGGTATGTTTGCACGCATGGTTCAAATTTGTTTTGAGGAGCAATTCCATATTGTCAGAGATGGTGGAGATTGTCCGTTAACTTTATGTACTGAATATTTGCTTCTCAAAAGTGTCTTGGTATCATAACATTCATTGACGGTGCTTCATCATGAGTAGTGATGAAAGTTGCTGAGCCGTGAAACCTGTACGTAAAATTTACATCACACAAATGACACCTAAAGAAACACCGTAGACTTCAAGGCGCCGTCCACAAGTTCCTCAAGCCGTGAAATCCACGTGTACATAAAGGGCATAATGTGAATGCATATGAGCCATAGGTTTTCTTTGTTTTTCTCGTTGTGCTGTCGAACTCATAATTCGATTCCCTGACATAATGCAGCGCAAGGTCTGTATACATATCTAAATAATACTAGTCCATGTACAGATATAGTCCTGGTATATAACCTTCGGCAGGACTTAGGGAATTAGACCTAAGTCTTTTATTAAAGAGCCAGGGTAGTCTTTACTCACACTAACCACATCAACATTCATCTTTTTATTATATAATTTATTATATAACACTTCTCACAGCTATTTTTTTGACAGAGGAGGAGGGCGGGGGGACCATCGCGTGCCTAGAAAAAACCCTCGGAGCAAGGGAGAGAACCAGTTTACAAACTCATTCACGTTAAATTTGATAGGGAATCGAACCAGGACCACCGCAGTGTTATGGCAGTTTACTACTGGGAGACCCACGCTCTCCATGATCTAGTTCATGACCGAAAAAAAAATTCTAATCCAGCCCTACAAGGTCAAGGAAACTTAAATCAAAAACAATATCATAGAAAAGTTAGAGATGATATAAAAGAAATAATAATGCTAATATACCTTTCAAACTGATTCCTAAAACTGATGAAATGGCACTGCTTTACGGAATGTGTAGCTTGAGAGCCAAAGCGGGATCTGTTCCTCATTTGTGTACAACGCCGAGCATAGTATATAACAATAGATGAAAATGAAATAAGCACTGCCACTTCATTTTCTTAGTGGCCTGACTTTGAACCATTATGCCAATTCAATAATGTTGATAATAGTGAAACTAAGAATTAAAAATCGAGACTTTGTGATGATGAAAGTGAAATATACAAACCATTGAACATGATTTCAATGGAACCAAGGCTCAATCGTATCTACTTGTTCTAAGTAGCTTAAGCACAGATTCGCGGCTCGAAGTGTCACCTATATAATAGCTATAATAGCTTGTAAACAAAGAGTTAATACATCTCATACTAAAATTGTGAAATACATTCTGAACTATAAAACGTTTAGTCAAATGCTATGAAAGCTGGACTAAAAAAATGATAACTTGACCTTATTTTGTAGTGTTCTACACTGTCTCATAAACACAATTTGATAGAGTGCAAATAATATAACCGTGAAATAGATAGTGACACAATATGAATAGGGAATATAGTCAGTGCTTTGTTAGACAAGACATAGGAATTCAGTGAGGCATGACATGGACTCGTGCTTTTTTCAAGAATAGCGTTCCTACAAAATCAAAACACAGCTAAAGCTAAAATAACAATAAAACGCATGTGATAAATGGTTTTGTGTGAAAATTTCATGCTCATAGACCAGGGAACCATTTTGGGGCCGCTTCTTTTCCTTCTTTATAATGATCTTCCTCAGTGTTTGCCAAACTCAATCCCTAGAATGTATGCTGATGATACCAGCCTTACATATGCTAGCAGCAATATTGATGACATCAATGACAAAGTCAACGATTATCTGAGGAGAGTGTTTGTATGGCTCGCTGCCAATAGACTTCTGAACCTTTTACGTCACTACTTGATTTGACTCAATGCATTGTGGGATCAGTTGCAAGAGAAAACAAAAGAAATCCGCCATGTTCTGTCCCAAACATATCCTACAATGCATTGCGTATACGGTACATGACGTAAAAGCTGCAGAGGTCTATAAGCTGACAATCAATTTGTATAAGACAAAATTTCTGCTTATTGGATCTCGACAGCGACTATCAGCTGGTTTCCATACTACACCTCTTTTGACCATCAATAATAGACAAATTACTCAGGCTTTCTCAGCTAGGTCTCTCGGTGTAATAATTGACGAGAATCTAAGTTGGGAAGACCATATACAGTCTATATCTAAGAAAGTTGCCTCAGGAATAAGTTGATTGAAGCGCATCAGGTGCTTTGTATCTAGGAATACACCTATCTTAGTTTACAATGCTCTTGTCAAGCCTCACTTTAAATACTGTGGTGCGGTTTGGGATGGGGTGTCGTAAAGGTTTAGTGGACAAACTTCAAAAACTTCAAAATCGCGCCGCACGAATCATAGCCTTCTCAAATTATGATACACGTACTAAAGACATATTTGATGCTTTGGGATGGGTGCCACTAGAAAAACAAAGAGCCTTTTCCAAAGCCCAATTAATGTTTAAAACTTTAAGCAATTTTGCTCCGGAATATATTTGTAATTTTATTATTCTGACGAATTTGAGTTGAAGAGACGCCACATCCGAAGCGAAGTTCAAACTTCGAGCCAAGGAGTTGTTGTTTTGACTGTTGTTTGTAGAAAATTAGAAGGCGAAATCACAATACGAAAAACAAGGTCTAATATAAACATTTTATACAAGTATTCATCTATTGAAAAAGGTATTACTGAGAGTGAGCAGCTTTCCGGTGCTATCAAACCATTCAGTCATGAAAATGAAATCGCTTTCAAAGCAGATTTCAAAGAAGCATGCAGCGACAACTTGTAGAGGATGGCTCCCAACTAAACATCTTCAAAGACAAGGAATTTAAGACGTAAAGAACCGTTCCTGTAGTAAAGCGAAGACCCTTGTACAGAGCGGAAAAGGCAAGAAAACACAAGTGACGAAATCTCTAAGCGATTAAGACGAGAAGGCGCTTCGTGGCTATACTAATAAAACCCAGGCTAGAAATTCACAGCATCACTTAATGTAACTTCAAGATTTCCAAAGGTCCAGTGACGGTTCAACAAGGGAAAAGGCGTCGAATTGCTATCACTGAAAGCGACGATGAAGACTGAAAACGATTTGATTGTAGATAAAGTAGATAAAGCTTACTGATTTGTTTGTTTTCATTGTGCTTTGACTAGATGAAAGACCCACGATTGTTGTTTTTTTCACGAAATAAGTATCTTTCGAGACATTGAAATAATTGTTCTTCTGTGACATTGATGACAATTTATTTTAGAATTGTTTTTATAACAGAAATATATGTTTTCTGGTGTAATAAAAATACATTTTTGACAATTTGATTCCATGTGCTTWGCTTGCTTCAGCTGGACCAATCGATAGTCCAATCGATATTCGCGAGCTGTTTACAGTTTGCTTTTCCGATGTAGAAAAAAGTCATATCATAAAGGTGTTATTAACCTCGTTTGCTCGGTCTCTACGGCCTCGGTCCGTACTGTCGAGACCTCGGTCCGATATTTTTCTGTACATACCTAGCGCTCGGTTAATAACCTTTAGTACACGATAAAAGTCTCGGCTAAAACAGTTCGAAGTGAAGTCCGTAATTACATGGGCTTCCAAAGGAAGACCATGTCTTAAATTACCGACGTTTTTCGTCTGTGGTATGCTTCAAATTATATCCGGGACCTTTTCATTTTTGACATCTATTGTCTTACTGTCATTCNTAGCTGGATACTCTGGTCGCAATTGTTCCATAGGTATGCCATTGACAATATGTAACTATTTTATAAGGGAAATAGCTACTTTCCGTAAGTTGGTTTTACTTTATAGAAATCAACGAATGTGCTTCGAATCCTTGTCAAAATGGGGGAACATGTAGAGATGAGATCAACATGTTTACTTGCAGGTGTGCCCCTGGTTTCACTTGTAATTGTACTATAGATAATTAAACGATCAGTTTCAAATATACTAAACAAAAGATCAGAACTCATCTCTAAATGCCGACACGAAAACAAATTCTACCTGAAGAACACTTGACACCTCTACAGCCTATTGTATTCACACCTACGCAGTTTTAATTAATAGTATACTCTCCTTTGTAATTTTTACCTTCACACCTATTGTTTCCAACATAACTATCACGTATTGTATGTAAATAGCCTAGCACTTAGCCTTTTGTTCTATACCATGTATATATATCTAGATTATAGGAATGTTTATCATGAAATACACTCTGATGAGTGCGTAGCACGAAACTCGGATTACAGCAAAATCTTGCCTCTTTGATATTATATATATAATTAAACGATCAAATAAATATTGAAAAAAACTCATTTAACGAGTTTTACTTTGTAGATATCGACGAATGCTCAAGTAAACCATGTCAAAATAGTGGAACATGTAGAGATCAGATCAACGAATATACCTGCAACTGTTTGCCTGGGTACACCGGACGCAATTGTTCCATAAGTAAGTCAATCACGATTACTAAGTAAATACCGGTTTAGGCGACAAAACTTTTGCGTACAACCATCGCATGCAACCTTTGTAAGTCATCTTTACGACATGGCTACAATTGTCGTAGGGATTTTAAACAGTTGCTTAATAGCCTCACGACAGTTGTAGCATGTCGTAAGGATGACTTACGAAGGTCGCATGCGATAGTTGTATGCAAAAGTTGTGTCGTCTAATTCGGCCTTAACGCACACACAAACGAAAAAAAATGTTATAAACTTATTTCCTTTGTGTAGATATCGACGAATGCTCAAATAATCCATGTCAAAATGGCGGATCATGTACAGATCAGATCAACGACTATACTTGCAACTGTGTGCCTGGATACACGGGACGCAATTGTTCAACTAGTAAGTCAATGACGATATGATTACGTAAGAAACAAACAACCCTATGATAAACTATTTCCTCTGTGTAGATATCGACGAATGCGCAAATAATCCATGTCAAAATGGCGGATCATGTACAGATCAGATCAACAACTATACTTGCAACTGTGTGCCTGGATACACTGGACGCAATTGTACCTTAGGTAAGTCACTGACTATTGGAATATTCCAGATGTTCATGCTTCTTGAATTTACAGATTTTCTAAGCTGACTCTTTGTCACTATTAGTCTTACATCAGAATTTATGTAGCAGCCATTTTTTGTGAAAAAAAAACCCATCAATTATAGGATTCGAACGCCAACCCTTTTTAACTCCAATACGTACCCTTCTAACCTAAAACACTATACTATTGAATGGTGCAAAAAGTATTATAAAACTTATTAATAATGCATGAGCTATTACTCCAATAAGGGTTGTCCATTTCATCAGGTGATTGACCTTGTAAATCAGATACAACACTAGTGTTGTATAAGATTTACAACACGGTCGTCACCATTGAGACAACCCAACACTAGCAAAGGTCTCAGTTTTAGTGTCGCATCATAGACCTTCACTAGGTTTTGAAGCAATCAAAGACGGATAACAGAACTGGCTTATGCAACAGATGGCTTGCTTTCCATGTGGGATGGATAATTATTCAAAATGTTCTGTGTTGCAGTAAATTGCGCATGCTTAATAGCGACTAAACTCAGCAGTTTCCTTAATTGCCATTTTTTGTCATTTATCTCACTGTAATTCATGTTAATTTGTGTTGGAGTTTTATAAGTCGTTTACAACATTCGCGTCCGTGTTGTATGGGAATTACAATCTCTCGCCTGCGGCTCGAGATTGTAATTTCCCATACAACACGGCCGCTCATGTTGTAAACATTACAAAACATGATGTTAATTCTGGCTTAAATGTAACTGAAAAAGGATGCTCGGAAAAAGTGATCGTTAAGAATTTCTTTGTATGCAGGCATTTGTTTATAAATAAAGATCGTAAATTGCTTGAATAATACTAATAAGTTATCGCAGCTTTACTAGGATTAAAATTGAGTGTACTGAAGGGCGAAATTGATATGTTGTGCATGCTGTATATTCTTTTGTTGTATTTTGTTTTTTTACTTATTGTTTCCTCATTTACTTGGGAAGTTAAAGTTATCTCCATAACTAAAAAAATATACAACTTTCACATATTTATCAAAATAAATAAAGCATTCTTGCTTTGTACGCTAAGTAGTAGGAAAAGATTCATCCTAATTAATTTGTTCGTCCATCCAACATGACGCCAAAAACTTGGTCCTTTGCTATAGTTTCATAGGGGATTCTTGGTCATGTGAATGCAAACCAAGAACTGGTTAAATGAAGGCACAGATTGCTTGATTCCTTTATTGTTCGATATGAGAATGCAACAAAATCAGCTTTTAAAAAAAGAAACTGTTCTTAAGTTAGATCAACCTTTGAAAAATGATGCCAATGCAAAATGTCAATGGTTTTTTGTTTTATTTCTAACTTTGTCTTCCAAGCAATTCATTTAAAACTTATATGTGTGGATTACTTTTTATTCAAGTAATTAGTGATTTACATGCAAATTAAAATTATTTTCAGAAAATATGTCATTTTCTTATGATTTTTGAATCTATTCGTATAGTAAGACACAATCTTGCCAAGTTTTAAGAAATTCTTAGGATCGCATGTACCTTTTTTCTGTAGTGCATGAGACATTGACTCCAAGGATTACGTCATGTAGATGACTAATTATTATCATAAAAAGTAATCGTAATATTTCATATTATAGGTAAATGATTGAAAGAAGCCAAAATTATGATGGTCGACCTTAAACATGTTTGCGCAAAAGCAAATGGCTTTTTCGTAAAACACATAGAAGAATTAGTGTTGTTCCGAAACTCTTCGCACTTAAGATCAAATGGCTCATATAATAGTCGTTTATTCCTTTTACTAGTAATCAGTTTTCACAAGTTTCGAACGCATTTCGTATGAAACGTACATGATGGTTCCTATAAAATGACGATAATAAATTACAACGATAAACTAGCTAAATACTTGAAAAAACGTCGACGAAAAACTATACTTACAAAACGATGTGTGTGCTCAGACGGTAAACGGTAAAAGAGGACGATTATGCAAATGTAAATGATTTTAACTTAACTACAATACACTAGGGACTAACGTGACGTGACAAACTAAATACATATAACAAAGAAAACAAAAATTATTCTATCGCCGTTACATTTCTCCCCCTGATAAGAGGGTGACACTCTTATTAATCTAAAGACTATAAATTTAGTGGCAATGTATGTCTATGACAATGTTCAATGTTCCAG